TCGGGTATTGAAAGCCCACACATTTGTCCTAAGGCTTGGGCGTGGCCGAAGCGAAGTTGGGGCAAGATTTCCTCGTCGCGCTCAGACTCCATTAAAGCTTGGAAATCTTCGAAGGTAGGACATACCTCTTGCCCGCTAAAGCTAAAGACATGTGTTACCGGATTCCAAAACCTTGCCGCGGTGTGAAGAAACGGAAAGTGCAGCGGAGTGCGACTCAGAGTAAATAGTGCATTTATGCCGAAACCCCAGAAGTTCAGCTTTTCCGAGCCGTCCAAGTTGGCAATCCAAGCTGTGAGATTTTGGGCAAGAAACTCTTCCATTTGGAGCAAATCAGTGTGGAATTGAGAAAGACTACGAAGCTGAGACCCTTTGTAGGGGATAAGGTGTGAGTGGAGGACAGGTGTCAGCATTCTGGTGGTCTTTACCATTTATGGCCGGCCGGCCAAATATAGTGCCGACCGCCTACCATTTTTGGCCGATGACCATCTCTCATGGCTGATGGCCTTTCCCTCTGGCCGTTGGTCCTCCCTCTTATTCCATAAGCTGCTTATGAGTTGAACATGCTGAAGAATTGTGGTCAGAGCCTCCCCCGATGCCTTCCGGTGGTGATCTTGCGAAGTCACGTCTATTTGTTTATCGAGTTATTGTACATTTTCTTATCGAGTTGTATGTCACGTTCCTCGAGTCCTTGCATCTGCTTATCGAGTTGTATGTCACAGTTCTCAAATCTTTGCATTTGCTTAATCGAGTTATATTTACATCCGGTCAGCTCATCGAGTTCTTTGTTGTTGTTTATCGAGTTATTTTGTCGTTGGTCAGCTCACTACCTGATTATTACGATGTAAGTGCTTAATTTTCAAATAAAATTTCAATTTCATTCACATTGTTATGTGATGCCACGCGATGCAATGCATATGGAAACAAATGTAACACATTTTTGAACAAAATAGCTGTTTTATTTCCCTCATGTGTTTTTAAAAAATACACACTTTTGAAAAAATAAAACCTGCCTGAGGCAGTGCAATGTGCTTAAAACTAACAGTAGAAATGGAAAGTAAAACAAAGGGAGAGCACAGTAGCAGAGTGTTTGGATTAACACCGGTGGCCTCCCCCTATGATAGATGCACGTCCCGCGCCTTTGTTTAGGTCAATTATACGGTTTGGCACCTTTATCACTCGAGATAGTGCAAGAAGGTGCACTTTGGAATGTTAACTGGTCTTCGTGTCGACCTTGAGCCATGTCTCCTGTGTGTGATGTTCGGTGCGTGCAAGGAGCATCCTTTCCCGTATCATTTTGTACCTTGCGAAGTCCGCAAATCGCTTTAAACATGTTGTATTACATTGCTTTGATATGACTAGGATTAGCACACTCGTTACGCGTCCTGCTTTCAGCAAATGTCTCGTCATGATTTGGTTGCATCTGAACAAATGCGAATAGCATGCCTTCACTATACTTATGCTGTACATGCATTCGAATTCCTGCTATACACATTGTTTGCATTATTGCATGCTTTACTTACATGTGTATATGTATTCTCAGGTGGTTACACATTGTATACGTTTTGCGTGTGCTTTACTTATATGTGTTCAAGTTCCTTTTTATACACATTGCATGCGTTGTCGTGTTATGCTTTACTTACATGTGTTGAAGTTCTTCTTATACACATTGCGTGCGTTGTCGCGTTATGCTTTACTTAGATGTGTTTAAGTTCCTTTTTATACACATTGCATGTGTTGTCGCGTTATGCTTTACTTACATGTGTTCAAGTTCTTCTTATACACATTGCATGCGTTATCGCGTTATGCTTTACTTACATGTGTTCAAGTTTTTCTTATACACATTGCATGCGCTATCGCGTTATGCTTTACTTACACGTGTTCAAGTTTCTATACACATTGCATGCGTTGTCGCGTTATGCTTTACTTACATGTGTTCAAATTCCTCATCATACACATTGTATACACGTATACTTTACTTACATGTGTCTACATCTTCACACATTGTGCACGTTCTCACGCGTTCTTTACTTACATGCGTTTGTGCCTCCATAACATTGTTATGCTTCTCACTCTGCTTGCGTTGTCACGCACTTTCAATTGCATTGCTATGCATACTGCTAACGATATCGTACCTGTTAAGTTTTATTTCTCTTTCAGGCTCGATATTGTATGTACGGTTCATTTGAAGCTGGCGCGACCAGATAAACCGCATAGGTGTTGTGTTCTCCACGTGAAACGTAGTGGGAATTACATAATTCTCTTACATCATTTCTGCATTGTAATGCAGTTGGATTTGTGTTTGATTGCTTAAAACTGTTGCATGATATGCTTCGTTATAGCTTTTCTTTACATGATCATAAGTTATGTTCGGCTTCTTGCATTATCAGTTGCATTCTGCCCCTGCCCTGGGGCACATATCTTATCTGTAGCTTGTATGTTTGTCTAAGTCTTCAGCCTTGTCAAAAATGGGTCGTCTCTGGGCTTTGACACTCACTCCCGTCATTGTTATGACTTTCGAGTTCTGTCAAAGAAGGGCAGCTGTAGAAACCCCATTTTTGACCGTCTTCAAGACTTGGACGTCACCGCTTGAACACTCGGTGATCATCCATGTTTGTGTTTGTTTTGAGTTCCCAGAGCTCTTGGCTACATGCTTTGCCTTAGGATCTCTCGACTTGCTTGTTCTGTGCTTGGTTTTGCACCAAGGACTTGTGTGTTTTTGTGCCTGAGGGTAGAGAGTAGCTTGTTAGCTACCCCTGACCCCCACCGGCCTTGGCTTGAGGCCACCGGCCATGTATTCTTGCTATTGGCCATTGGTGAAATATACCATTGGCTGGTTGGCCCATGGTGTGGTCGGCCAACCATCTGTTTGGCCAATGGCCTCTTTCGCTGGCCGGTGCCACCTTTTTGCCTTTTACAGGCATAATGCATGCCAACTGTGCCAGCTGGAATGCACGGACCCTCCTCCCCATGCACGAGTGTGGCTGTTTTTCCCTTTTTGCACCTTTTTGGTCTAGCTTCTTAAGGAAGCTTGGACCTTTGTCTTAGCTTCCTCAAGAAGCTTGAACCCTGCCCCAGCTTCCTCAAGAAGCCTTGGCCCCTTTGCCGTGGCTTCTTGAAGAAGCCTTGATCCTTTTAATTAGCTTCTCTTGGAAGCTTAGCATCTTTGATGGTCTATATAAGGAGACAAATCCTCTCCTTTGTTTTGGTTCAGCAAAATCAGACCTAGAATATATATATTCCGATACATACATCTTCTCTCTCTATATCTCCCTCTCTCTCTTCATTTGTGTGTGTTTGAGGGCCTAAAAGGGTGACTTGTTCTTACTTTTGCACTAAGACACACACCATTACACCATCCTTTGACTTTGGGAGGTGTTGAGGGTTTATTCTTCAGATTTTGAGCTGGTTTTGATCAGAAGAAGGTGGCTGGACTTGCTGTTCTTGAGGTGTTCTTCAAGGGTAACACTTTTGCTTTAGATCCCCCAATCTTGCACTAGCTTTTGACCTGCTTTGCATACTGATTTGAGCTTCGTGTATAACTGAAAAAAGTCTTGTATTTGCATGCTTAAGATACTTCATTAAGGTCATTTTGTTGTTTGGGGTCGATCTCCCCCTCTTAGGCCTTGTTTGACCCTTTTTGTACTCTCTTTGTTAAGTTTTGGAACCTCTTGTGTATTGGCCTTCTCACCACTGAGATCCAGTGGATTTTCAGTGGTGAAGAAGGGGTTTGAAGTCTTGCATAGGGGAGGGACACCCCTCTTCCCTGGTCTCTCTTTTGTTTGCATTTTTGGCCCATAAGGGTAGCATGTATGATTAGTTGTTCTTGGCTTCATTCCAGAGGTTTTTTAGGTGTTATTGGGTCATATTGTGCCTCTGTTTTTGGTCGGATTAATGACCCCTTTCATGTTTAATAGACTTGCTTTGTATTCCTCTCTTTGGCCTAGAAGTACATCATGCATTTAACCTACCATGCTCTCATGTTTTGGCCTAACTTTGTGAAGTTCTTAGCCATATCTTACCATGCTTGAGGCCTGTTGGGTGCTGTTTTGATCCTATTTGCCATGTTTGGTATAGCCTCTTTGCATTTCGGCTTGTGAGCCTTGAGGATGTGAGTCATGAGCATGCTTGAGTTGGGTTGTTTCAGTGATTTGGAGTGATTTCCCACGCTATTTCAGTCCATAACCCATGCTCGTATGATTGCATTTATCATCCCTTTCATGCCTCAAAGAGTTGTTTTGTTGTGCCTTGAAATGAGCATTGTGTATGCTTAAGTGTTTAAGTCTTTGGGGCTGCCATATCAGTGGGTTTTGGGGGCTCATTTTGCATGTTGAAACTCTGTTTTTGGTTGTTTAATTCATGCCACGTGTGGTCATGATAGTGGTGTTAGAATGCTCCTTTTTTTTGTGCCTTTGTCTTAGGCTCATTGATGTGCATGTTTGCATGAACATTTGTCCACCACTTACACCATCTTTGGCCATTGTTTTGGAGAGGGCTGAGGCCTTCTCATTTCAGTATAAGTCCATCCTCACACACTCTGCATGTTTGACATGTTACATTGTATTGGTTGCATGCTTACATTGCATTACATTTGCATGTTGTTTAGCTAGTTGCATTGCATGTTTGGACAT